TTTTGTATACTGCTAAACAGAGCTTTGTACCACTCCAGCATACCATTTACGCACACACATTCCACATCAAAATCTTTTTGTTTCGACTCGCTTCCACCTGCCTTTCTTTACATTTTTGATAGATATTTTTGAAGTAGCCTGTGCATGAACAATTAAATTATAAGTTATTTTATAGTCATTAAGCGAATTACGTCTTATGTCATTTACTAATTAGTTGATCAAAAGTTTCAAGTCTTAAAATTATCCATTATTTATAAAAATAGTTTTATTTTAACTTTCCTTTCTTATGTCTAAATATTTTAGATCACAACTACCGTAGAAATCTTCATTTGAAAGAAATGAAAAGCATCTATATCACAGAATTACATCAAGAAAGAAAAGTCTTCGGTATAATGCATCGTATGTTATTAAAGAGGTAAATTAAGGTTTTCTGGGATGCTTATTAAAAAGTCGTTTGAAAAGCTCTCTATAATTAGCATGTTATGTTCAAGTAACACAACATAACAAAAGGATAATACCGATACACTAGGAAGCCAAAAATCTTTGCGTATATTTTCTGTTATGGGCTTAATGAATTCTAAATTAAATGTTTTGTTCAAATATATTAAACAAACACCCACTTCTGTTAAAATACGATGATTTATTTCGTATTAGTGTGCGTATGAATATGTTATTACATTTTAAATAATATATTATTTCGAGATATGCTAATGAAAGATAAAAATTCTTCTTTGCGTTGCTAGTGACTGAGAAAACGACGAATTCAACTTTGCAATCGGCAAACTATGATAAGCGCTGTGATATTTACTACCGGTGAGCTTATTAATAACATGTTAGATAAACACGTTTATTTAACTAACGCTGCTTAGGAACTTTTCATAAGCTTTTATTCCATTTGAAAATATTATACGCCGCATTTTATAACTAGCTCTTGAAATACCGTTATAACTGAAAGCATTTTAAAGTTACATTCGAGTTCACTATTTGCCATTAGAAAAAACGGTGGCTCAAAATATAATAGTTATTTGCTTTTAAAGCATAAAGCCGTGCTGTATTTTAGAAGTATCTTCTTCTTACAAATGTAAGTTAGATTAGGTTAATAGTTAGAGATACATTAAACTAGCACTCATAACCAGAATTTGATCTAGATAAAAGTTGCGTCTGGTTGTTATCAGCTCAAAAACATCCCCTAAACTATGTCCCTTAAAGTAATTTTCTGGCAGTTTTGATACATATGTGACAAGATTAGCGATCCGGTTCCGTGGGCTAGGTGATGTTAACCTAGCGGAGAGCATCAAATTCATAACCGCAATCGAACCATAATTCTCACCTTTTCCTAATTAAAATTGCAAAAATCAAGAGCGAGGGATCGAAAACCAATTTCTATCCTTAAAACTCCTTCAGTTTTTCATTCTTAACGATTGTCATTTGCTCATTTGATCAGATTAGATTCTGCATACAGTCTACCGACGTAAGTTAGCTAAACTTTTCTTTTCGCCACCGAGAGAACAGCTGGACAACAGGGGTTAGGTGCTCTTCAGCCTTTTGGAGCTCTTCGATTGAATTTAAAAAAATGTGATTTCCTTGTACAGATACAGTAAATTATTTAACTGAAAATTCCATTTTTCATTGTGTGAAAAGTAATGGGGGGATGAAGTGGTAAAAACGCTGTTCTTAACAAGTTTCTAGCTCTCTTGCATACGCAGTTAGGGGATTTCCGGTGGGGTAAGTTTATGATTGTCAGCTTGGCGTTCGCAGATATTCCAGCTCGGCGAGATTTTCTAAATTGAATATAATGTACACCACATGACTTCCTTGTACGGAATATTAAATTATCCGCATATTTTTTTGCATTTCATTTAAACTTATTGGATTGAAATAAATCTACTTCGTCGATAGCAAACCACAATAGAATAAATGCGCTCTTTAAAATTCACTATATTTGTTTAACATAGCGACACTCTGGCGCTAGGTTCACTTAACAGCGCTTAACACTAATTTTGTTGTAATTATAACTTATATCTTATGTTTTAACTTCGGATAAGAGACAATCGGCCTATTTCGGCCTTTACCAATATATTATTCTTGACTTTTCTAAATCTTGAGGACCAAGGGAGTTGAATCCACTAGAATTGAAAGTACTTGCACACAAACTGTGCTAGAATTCAGAGACTTTTAATGGAGGCTCCAGTGCCGCAATCTGTTAAGAGATAAGTAAACTTAGAAGATACGAAGGTGCACATGTGGCTCCATCTATATTTGAAAATGAAAGGCTTCTTAGTATGCTGGTGCTCCGGTGGCGTCATCTCTTGTACATTGCATTGTGAGGCATTTTTGAAAAAAAAAAAAAAAAAAATCATACTATTCTTTAGATAAGCAATTATTGGCAAATGATTATATGATGAAATAGCATAGTTTGTCACAGTAGAAAACGTTTCACAAGAATAAAACTATATTCACACCAAAGTCTATAATCATATTATAACTCAGAATGCACAAAATTTATACCATTTGAAGAATTATCTAATCGTTGCCACATGTTCTATTCAAATACTATAATAAATCTAGAACGTTGTGTAAAAGAAATTAAGCAAACAAAACAAAAAAGAAACAGTTTTTCACAGACGATTTAGTATTTCTCATTCAATTAATTCAGTTCTCACTTCGCGACAAGGCAAAAATGCATACCTACAGTAAAAATTACTAAGTAAATCTTAAACACTTATTTCCTCAAAAACTACACAAAGGATTAAGCGTGCTTTAATTCGTAATAGTAAATGAAGGCGTTATCTTTGTTGTTGCGAAGCTTAGTCTCTCTAGATTGGCAACAAATCTACTATTCTGCTGTTTGACATGTAAACAAATATGTCCGCCATGTTATTTAAAACTTAGGCTAATATTGCTTGAAGATTGACTAAAGGCATAAAAACCTTAACCGGAAGATAAGAACAACATAATTCAATCATTTTTAAAGCAAAAAATGCACAATTTACAAACATATAAGAATAAAGAAACTAAGCTCACTGAGCCGAGTAACACAGTGGATATATATATATATACATACATATATTTATATACTTTGGTGCGGTCAATTGCAACCAAAATACGAGGTGCACATTTACATGCTATAGCAGTCCTACATACAAAATTTCAACGTTCTGAGGCTACTCGTTTTTGAATTATATGAGATACGTACGTACGCACAGACGCCACGAAACATTCTCTTTGGAATTCATTTTAAATCAGTTTTACAATTTTTGTTTGGGGGGAAGAGTCTTTTATTCTGTCCTTTCGTACAGATGTCACGCAAAAACATCGTTAAATTGAATGCGATAGCGGTAAAAATGGATATTTTCTTTGAATTATGCTGCCTGAAACTTTTCGCGATTACAATACTTCCTTTTTACTCCGTACAAGGTAGTAAAAAGGGCTTAGTACTGTGTCCTCAAGGAATTGATTACATTTACAACTCAGTACTGTGTCCTCCGGGTATTGACCACGCTAAGCGAAGAGCATTAAGCGAAGGACCAGAATATGGAAAGAAGGTGCATGTTGGGGACTGTAGAAACTAAGGGAAACACTTTTCACTATTTATAGTTAGGCTGTTACTCATTCAAATGATCTGAAGCTGATTTAAAGCAAAGCCACCTTTTCGCTTAATTCATGATGGAGCCTGTTGAACTGCTATCAACTAGAAATGGAATATCAAACCTTGTTTAATAGTTAAAGGCTATTAAAATCGTTAAGTACGAAAACCGCATCAATTTGGTATGTAACTCTCAAAATCAATCTAAACGTTTCCATTATTTTCGCAACATTTTATACGGGCGCATGTATCCACCTGTTCAAAATTATTTCTTAATATTTACAAATAATTTTATTCTCAAAATTTATTAGAAATATCATATTAAAATAAATAAGAAGTTACGGATTTCTCCTTCATCACATATTACATTTAGGAAACAAAAGTGTATCGCAAAATTTCATTTTATCCAATAATTAATCTAAATAAAATAATTACATAGATCAAGAATAGTATCGACGAGAGAAAAAAATTCTTCACACATACGCTTCCTTAAATGTCTTGAATTAAGATAAATTCATAATAATAATTTTAAAGTGAAATCAAATTTTGTAATAATTTTTAACATAATTTAAATTGTGAAGGAAACTGCTTTAGTAAATAACACATTATTTGAGTAAATCGTTAATCAGTTTTAAACATTATGAAAACTTTAATAACTAAAAAAGCTCTAAAATAAATATTATACTTTATAGACAGACAAGGTATTTGAATTGATAAATCTAAGTATACCATATATGAAAGTATTATTTGATAAAGAAAGGTGATCCGGATATGAATAAAACAAGAATTTAACTCAAAGTACACATTTGTGTTACTAAATTGTCAAAAAAGCTACTAAATGTATTATAAAATATCTCGATAACAGCGATTGGAAATTGTATATACATTTGAAATAAAGAAAAGTATGTATTTGAAAATTGAATTTTTGAGGATTTTACTGTCTATTGAGACGCTAATTAATTCAGGTTATCATAATAAAACATCTTTCGGCAGCGAAAAACGAGAGATAGTATAATTTTTATAATTAAACCGTTAATCTTTGCACAAAATTAACTTTGATTAACATACTAGAACGACTGAAAAATATCTCCTACTGAACCTTCGAGGGCATGACCGCCTTTATCCGGTCATGAGATTATTTTATCACCTGGTATATATTAGATTATAATTCAAAGTATTGTGCTTTCTTATTTTCTTTAATGACGTAAATAACGTCATAATGGACGGAAGTTTATCGAAACGGAGTCTAAAAATGTAATTATAAAAATTTAGCTAGTAAATGCAGTTTAAACATTATCATAAGCCCTTTTAAAAAGCTGTAAGAGTCAGAGGGTTAGAAAAGAAAACAGAGCCAGAAGAATGTAGATACATTTTTTTATAAACCAGTAGTTATAATCCGTAAGGATATATTTACCTTCTTCCTCAGTTTTGAAGTGGAAAGTGCGCCCCGGTCCACTGGCTCCAATAGCATTCTCGGCAATTAAATAAACGTCGTATCCAGTGGCAGGTCGTAGTCCTGTTAGGTCTGCGGATGTCTCTGTGCCAGGAACGGACATATTTCGAGACGGAACCGAAGCTGAAGAACCTGGATAAGCAGATACAAATAATTTGTTTAGTAATTTTGAAAATTATTCTTCACAGAGAAAGGTTAGTGGAATGTTATTTGGGTAACCGTCAAATGAACGGAACTTAATTATTTTATATTATTCTACAGAAAGAAAGAAAATATTTTGATAAATTTCGCGGCATTTTTGCTAAAAGTTATGCTTAGATAAAAATGTTATTCGATTATATTTTATTTCTCTCTATTATAATCATAATTTCTACTTTAGTAGGCAATGAGTTTCACATTGATCATTTTTTAATTCAGGATTTTTGTTAAGCTTATTCAATGATTAATCATAAACAGATGCATATCAAGGCAGCAACTAAACTCTAATAATATTAGTACAGGCTATCTGAGGATGAAAGATTGGATTTCATGAAGATTGTATTAAGCATGTATCATGTGAAATGGATTAAAAGTACTTTTGTTTATTTCAGTCAGAATAAATGAGATTCAAAATGTTTATCATCAGAAGTCCCACAGTTATCATAGAGATACTGAGTTTCGGCTCCTACTCTGGCAAGAATACATGAACAAAGCTTCTAGTAGTTTGCATGTTTCTGTCCTCCAGCTGGTTAAGGCTATCACTTCTTTCATTGTTAACCTTATTGTTGAGAAAACCGTGGAGAATAAGTTTAACGGGATAACATCAGGATTTCTTGGGGGCCATGAAATGGATAAAAATCGTTAAATCCGACAACAAAAGATTTTGCCAATCCATCGATGGTTCAATTGGTTTCAGATATGATTCGCAAAGTGGGGTGGTACTTGTTGAAAGATATGTAGTTCAGCATCTTTCATTTCCGTTTGCTCGATTTGAGGAACAAAATAATCTATAACATGCAGAGACATGCAGGTTATTTGGAAGCAGAAGACATGAAAAATCAGCAATGCCCCCGCCGGGATTCGAACCACGAACCTCTCGAATACGCATCGAGCGTGCTGACCACTACACCACGAAGGCATGCTAAGAAGCGACTGGAGTTTAGGGGACCCAGTCGCCAAATCCTGGTGGTGAAGAATCATGATTCACCACCTTTTTTAGTTCGGGCGCCACTGTAGAGACATTAGATTATTTGGAAACAGGAGACATAAAAAATGAGCAAAGCCCTCGTCGGGACTCGAGCCACGGACCTCTCGAATACGCGTCGAGCGTGCTGACCACTACATCACGAAGACATGCTAAGAAGGCGGGAGAAATATAAATATACTATACACATTCAAGCTGATATTTTCAGTGACGGAAGAAAAAGGCAAAACTTCTTATTACTGATTAGACCGCACCAGACATTGGCTTTAGGACAATTTCCAATATGTACGTCTCACAGAAGAATTTTAATAGCTTTGAATTCGACAACAAAGGATAATAAAACATATTGCACATAATAGTTTTGAGTAACTACATTAAATATCACAATTCATTCTAGGAGACACTGTAGTAGTTACGAAAGCGTTTTACATTTACGAAATACATTCAGTCCTCAGTTTCTTTCATGTAAGTAGTGTAAACGTTATTATGTTAGCCAGCAGAAATTGAAATGCATATGACAAAGTATTATGTCGAAAGTATAATGTGTCAGACTTTACATATTTTTAATAAAGGCAAATTCCTAGCGCCAGTTCGTTTGCAACATATACCTAATATTTCTTATTTGAGCTACGGTATCAAAATTCAAAAAAACATTACAAAATTTAGCAGTAGAAAACTGAGTAAAAAATCAACACATTGAGTATTTGTGAAATATATGAAAGTAACTTTGTAAATTTACTTTTATTTCAATATAATAAAATATGGCATTGGTTACGTTATTTCGGTATTGTGATATTTTAAAATGTTTTATGAAATTGTGGATAACTTTGTATCTTAAACTGCATAAAATCTTCTTTCAGATTTTCCTAAATTATATTTTTAAAATAATCAATATGTAATTAAATATTATAACAGAAGATTACTCATATACATAGAACGTAAATAAATGAAACAAAGCGAAAGAATGCTTTAAGAGAAATAAAATAAATAATATCCAGGATTATTTTCGATTACGGGTTAAATGCTAAATAGGTTTCATTTGAAGAGTTATAGGAGATATTTTCCTTCCGAATTCATTAGGTTTTACATATTAATCAGAAAATTTTTCGATTAATCGACAGAAATCGTGGAATTAATAATATTTAACAGAATGTGCTAACAGGAAGTAGTTATAGCTTCGACAATAGGCCTTAATTGTAAATTTATTGCTGAATAGGTAACGGCCATTTTCCTTTGAAATAGAATTCGCCGATGCCTAAGAAGTAAGGAAGTTGTGGGAAACAACGAAGAATTAATTGAAAAGTAAATATAATGATAAAACAACACTTACCATTTTCTCGGATATGGAGGACGTATTGTGTGATGAGGCTATTTCCGCTGAAAGGTGGCTCCCAGGACAACCTCACCAGACGACTTCCCGTTTCCGAGATTTGCACTTCTCTGGGAGCATCCGGTTGTTCTGTAATACAAGAAAAGTATTAGAAACCGTTTTCTTTGAGGTCCTATCTAGCAGAATATTTTACATCCTAGCGTTACTATTAATAAAACTGTTGGAAAAAAATACGAATCCTTTCTACATCTTTAAATTTTCATCTAATAAATGGATACTAATATAAAATATCTTTTAATATATACATGCATTTTAAAGTTTCTTACGATAAATTGTTATTTATCCGATCTAAAGAGTGCAAAATTATTATAGATAACATTCTTTTTTTCTAGAATACTGTAGGAAATATTTTGGACAATTAAAGGCGCGAATAAATATATACAAAGTAATTAACCAAAATTATGCATTATAGCACGCATGAATATTTATGTTCCTTTAATTAATGAATGAAGATCTGATTTTATTTTCACACGGCTGATGAATTACATGTCATGTAGATTCATTGCTTTGTTCAGTATGTAAGGCAATAATATGCAAAGTAACTTTTTTCCGTCTTTTATCTATACTACCAAAAAACTTTCGTTACGTTTAAACTTGCAGTATTAAAACAAACCATTGTTAGGCAAGCTTTCCTTAAGCTCACCATTTTAAACCTACCTGATACATTTATGGTTTTAGTTCATAGTTATAAACATGTGTTATGTTTTGCTTAAGCAAAGTACGATTTATTGTGTACTTGCAATTTCAAATAATTTCACAAAATATGGTTGGTATTTTATGAGGAATGGAAGATTCACGCTATTATGGAATTACCATTAAAACAGCAGCGAAGCGTGGCAAAAATTGAAAAAAAAATTATTTATGCACATAAAAAGCAGTTGATAAATTCTCGTTAATGAAATAATATAATACGTTTATTTCCCTACAAAAAATTAAAGAAATAACCTTATATTGTTTCCTTTAGGAAATGTTGAAGTGAAAGGAAAATAAGGGAATTCGTAATTAATCTCTAATGGAAACCAGACTATGTGTTATAGTTTAATTGTGGTTCTCATCGGCGTGGTGTGGTGTTTAGTGGCACGGAATGCTGATGCGACTGTAGCTCTTGAAGACACTACCAACAATAGCAATAGATTAGATCGTAGGTTTCCAATCCTGGCCAGTGTACACAATCTTTGTCAAGTGCCTGCTGACGGACATAATGTCAAGAAGATCCGACGGATATGACGCTAGACAGCCATCATAATCAAGTTTGCTAATTGTTGCTTTCTAGCTGGGATCATCATTCATCCAAATATATCTTAGATAGACTCATTAAAATGTACGTTCTTCTCTTAAATCTAGTGTTCTCCATGTCTGATATTATGATACATATCTATCAATCTCAACCGAACTCAGTCAATTTCCTAGTAACTTTCAACATTGTTACGTTATTTTCTTCCTCTTGACGTTCGTACGGGTTCATAAATTTGGAGTGAATAACGACGACGGCCCTCGAAAAAGTATCAAAACATACTTTATTGGCCAGTATTTCCCAAGACAGCTCCAAAATCACGCTTTTACACTCGTTAAAGAACTACTATACAAACGCTGTAACAATCCGCCACACAGCCTTCAGGCAATCATGCTATAACGGTGAAGACAGCTTCACTGCAAAGCACCAGAGTACAGCTCCCGACTTTGCTTGGTCGTTCTCAGAACGCCACGTACGCTCAAGACGCCGCTCGCTACAACTCGCGATGCACTCGGCAATACACTAGAGTACAGCTTCCGACTCTTCGGTTCAGTCATTCCCGGAGCTCAACACACTCTCTCGACGATGCACTAACAGCGATACACTAAGAAATTCTTTCGGTACACTCGACAACCAACTCGGCACTCACTGATTCTCTATCAACTCGATGGACTCTCAGTAACTGTCTATCAATTCGATAGACTATCAAAAATCTTCGCGTAAAAGCAGGGTTTATATAGCTTTTGACTTATGTTCGAGAATATTCTGGGATAAACCTTTGAGTATTCGTTCCAGAAGATCTCCATCCGTCCATGGCATATAGCCAATTTTGTCGCTAAATAGGCGATTTCTCGCCAAATGTGACAACCCTGCCTTCCCTTGCCATTTCCTGGCAACCCTAAACCTGCTTTGCGGTGAAGTTATCTTACCGCGCCTGAACATTTCTTAACAATATTTAAATTTGATAGTGAGAATTAAAAGTGTAATCACACATGGAAATTACAGAACGATCTTAAAGTTAAAATTTAAAGATGAATTTTTATCAGAAGCTAAAAGAAAAAAATAATCATACTTTTTGAATAGTTAAATTTTTTTTTTTTTTATTATGAAGTCCTTAACGGATATTTAAACGAAAAGTAATGTCTTCGAAGCGAAACTGCTAAAGAGGGGAGAGGTAAACCCTTGCCTCATTACAAAGGGAAATTTTCCACAACATCCCGTTTCTCTTCTGGGAATTAAACCAAGATTTTACTGCCAATAATCGTACTTAACTACGATTCAGTCATCAGCAAGCTGAAAGCTTCGGAAATTATTTGTAAATTGTGCTAACTGAGAATAACTTTTAATATTTGAATTTAATTACACAGTTTTAGCATAAAACTCTCTTCTAATGTTAAAACATGGCATTTAATAATGAAAATTATCATTATCTATTTTGTGATATAAATATATGGTATATGAAAACGCTCATTCAACCTATTATAGGGCTGAAATTTGCGTTTATTTAAATGGCAACTGCAGCAGCATCTTAGCTGATTTCATTAAACTACGTTTCTTAAGAATCACTATATCTTACAATGTTAATTAAATATGCATTTGACATTATGTTTTCTTCTGTTTTGAAAGAAAAGGAAAAAAAAATCATTAGCAATTTGAACGGTTTCTTACTTGATTTAATTAGTTTGGATCTTCTATTCAGCTAGCATAAATTATTTAATTAGATGTATTGTCAAAATCGCAATTTATCGCAACATATATTTAATATATGTACGCTAAATACAAGATTGTTATTGCGATTTTGATTGTCACATTGCCGTTTTTCTCTTCTATTCTAGATGTATTGTATAAAAGTAAAATTTAATTTGATCTTTTGCATATTCAGTTAAATATTAAATAATTAATATTTTGTAAAACAATTTTCCTCTTTGATAGGAATAGAAAAATATAAAAATTACATTTTTCTTTTTAAAATAAAGTAGAATGCTGAGCAGTTTGTTATTTGAACAAAGGATTTACTTCATTCTTTTCACGACTTCGAAATTGCTCGGCTGAAATTTGAGATAGGAAATGCAGATTCTCGGTTCAAACAATATGAATAGTTTTTCCCAAGAAGAGCATTTCAGATATTTAAATACTTAAGTTTGAGAAAAACAAAAAGCCTTGAAAAGAGATGTCTTTACTTTTTTGTCTTCCTTGGGCGAACACATTTCCTCTTCGAATTCTAAGGATTCTTTCCTTTCAGAATATTTTAATTTACGCGTTTCGGCACTACAGCTTCCATTTCAGTACAATTCCTTGCCTATGCCTTTTCAAGTTATTTTCACAATTATTTTACTCAAAAATAAGAATCTGTTTGCATTTCCATAACATATATACTATATAGAAGTAGTTTCATTAGGATGTCTTTCCAAAGAATCAATAACTTGCAACACACTTTACGGATAGCTTTTATAACGCTAAGTAGTGTGTGCGAATATATTTACGTTAAAAATGCCCAACATATTCTTCATTAATATCTTGGCATAATCGAGGGCAAAGTTTCGCATTTTCAAAAGTTCTTTAGTATCTGTATACGAAGATTAATGATATGGTTACAAACCTTTGACTATCTCGCGGTCCTACGGAAGGAGGAGATGTTCAAACTAAATATGTGAAAATGGCCTGTTAGTTATTTTGAAGCAGAAGAATTGAGCGCCTAGGAAAGAAACGAGTTACATGAATAGAAACACGTGAGATTTTAATTTGAACCATGCGCAATATTTAGGAGGTGAGATAATGCAGTGTGATGCGAATATCTCAGTAAGTGGTTGCACCATTACATATTGGTAATATAGGCCTCAATAAGGCTTAAAAAGTAGCCATACAGTCTACAAATGTAGGCCCATGGATTTAAACACCAAGCATTCTTCACTTGCTTCCAGAATTCAATGAAATCTTATACTAGCCCCTTTGACTACAAGAGATATTCATTGCGATTTCACAAGATTTTAGCCTGGAAATATATCTGGCAAGCTTGTTGGATATAGCAAGAACCTTGAACCTATTGCAAGCATCTCGCTATCATTCGCAGAACATAATATTGCCTGAACCTATTGGAAGCATCACTGAAAGACTCAAGCAATTGCATTTCCTTACTGGTTATGAGGAAAGGCAGGAATAGAAGGAAAATATGCTAAAGAATCTCGCTAGCGAAGCTTGCAACTGTCAGCATGCTAATGGAGCGACAAGCAAATTTGACTTGCTGCTACGCACTGATATCTCGTATCATGGTACCTACCTAACCGGAGACGGGCGACTGCCAAAGAAAATGAGATCCATCCTTTCATTAGCTTGACCCAGACACGGATTCATCGATTATCAACAATGAGTCAAGAAGAATGAACACAAATGAGATAATCACCGAAGAGCACATAGTGCATTCCTGATATCATGTGCATGACTTCAGCACGAAACTTGAGAAACGCTGCATAGCTTTGCGATCAGTGACAGGCGTTATAAGTGCTGTCTACTGAGTTTGCTTTCTTTAACAATTCATTCATGATTGGGCTTACTTGTGGTGCCATTCATTTATGGAATTCTGTTATTTCTGTATGGAATAATCATATCTGCAGTGCATTATGGGGGCAGTCAAGAGCACCAATCAATGCCCTAATTAGTGCCAGCAGTGTTCATAAGCATTTTGTTTTATGTCATACTGCTGCGCAATTGTGCATGCACATTAATATAATGAATACCACTTCACATAAGCCTGTAATTTTGATTAGCAAACTCAATGATTTCAAAGCTAGCAACGGCAACACTATACAGGAAAAACATTTTTATCTCCAGCGCGCGA